ACAGAGAGGAGAGAGGAGAAGAGAGAGAAAGAGGAGAGAGAGAAAGAAAGAGGAGAGAGAGAGAAAGAGAAGAGAGAAAGAGAAAGAGAGAAAGAGAAAGGAGAAAGAAGAGAGAGAGGAGAGAGGAGAGGAGAGAGAAAAAGAGAGAGAAAGAGGAGAAAGAAAAAGAGAGAAAGAGAAAGAGGAGAGAGAGAAGAGAGAAAGAAAGAGAGGAGAGAGAGAGAGAGACAGGAGAGAGAGAAAGAGAGAGAGAGGAGAGGAAGAAAAAGAGGAAAGAAAAAGAGGAAAGAAAAAGAGGAAAGAAAAAGAGGAAAGAAAAAGAGGAGAGAAAGAGGACAGAGAGAGAGCAGCACGTAAAGCACCGGATTTAGAGAAAGGGAAACTGAGGCACGCTGCCTTGCGCAGTTGGCCCTAAGCCAACCTCTGAGGGGGTTTTTATTTTATGCGTGTTTTAGCGCCATTGTGGGATTTATAGGGCTAGTAATGAAAAAGTTTTATCGCCTTAGCTCCTCTGCAGCCGGCCTGCCTGGCTTCCTCCCTGCGCACACACACACACACACACACAACATCTGGATGGGCAGCTGGCCCTGGCTTGCCCCCACAGAAGGCAGGTTCAATTCCCACCTGTGGGTCTCCTTCCCCCTAATGCTGCAATTCATTGATCCTGCCCCCCGTTCCTCCCCCCAAGGCTAGGGAAAAGGGCCTAGCTGGATCAAGCTCATCCCTGGGATGGGAGACCACCAGGAGATCTGCTGCAGGGAAGAAGCCCCCCCCCTGCCCCCCAAAAAAGGTGCACGTGGGTTGATGCAAGAGGCGGGGTGGGTGTGGAGATCCCAGGTCCTTTTGGGGAACCTTGAGGGGGGGGCTTGTCTTCCGTGACCCCCGAGGCTCAGCCTGCCCTCCTCCCACCCAACACACGGTCCGGCAAGCTGGTTTTCTCAACTGGGCGTCCGTGAGGACTGGGGGAGCGCCCTTGGAAGGGGGGGTTTGTTGGGGTGCCCAAATACCCCGGCTTCGTCTTAAAGAGTCCCCTCCCGAGACACCCCCGCCCAGCCCCCTCCTCACCCACCTTAGAGCAAAGGGACTGTTAGACCAAGCTCATCCCTGGGATGGGAGACCACCCGGAAATCTGCTGCAGGGAAGACCCCC